GTAGGGTTATCCGTGCTGGGTGACTGTGTAGCAAAGAGGCAATAGAAATCTCCAGTTCACTATTGTTATTTCTAACACCTTCGTGTCCTGGGGTGGGGAAGATCAGGTGCCATGCTCTGATAAACCTGTGCAAACAGAGTCTCAGGGGAGCCCAGCCCCAAATTGCTCTCAGCATGCCTGGAAAAAGTGGATAGTTCGCACAAACAGCGTTGCTGAAGAGGCAACGGAGACCTTTGGGGCTCCTGGCTCAGTTGAGCCCCACAGCCTCTATCAGTGTTCATCTGTAGCACTCAGGCACCCTGCCTCCGTGGGATCCTCCAGCGGGGGTCTGTATCTCGCAGCCACCTTCCAGCATCTCCCCTCTCCAACCTCCGTACGGTTACCTATCCATTATCCACCCTGGCATCGGCATGATGAAGTATTGACATCCTTATGTTTCACCCCGGATTACCAGAGGGAAATTCAGCCTGTCTTTTTCAGAAAGGGGTCTTGGGATGGGATAAATTGTCCTTCAGAGGTGTCAGTCACTCTGTAGAGGGATTCTAGAGGATTAGCAGAAACTAGAAACTTAACTTCACATGGCTAAGGTTAGTTGCGTTGAGTCCTAGCTTAAGTGACTTGCACAAGCCCTTGTGTGTCAGTAGCAGAGCTGGGATTAGAAATCAGTCCTGATTCTGACTGATTAAAGCCAATTACTGTCTTTAGTAGGATTTGTGCAAGTATATTCTCCGGTCTCAGCTCCTCTGAATTTGAAGAGTGTGAGTCTGGGTTTCATTTACCAACGTTGCTTTACATCCCCCTTTCTTTTTAGAAGAAACTTAGCGGAAGTGTTAATATGACTTCTGCTTGCTTAAAGAGCCTTTTATTTTCTCTGAGTAATATAAAGCAGCTGACTCTTTTGGGGAGATGGCCAGGAGGGAGAGCACTGGAAAACCCTCTGGTCTGTGAGTGGTTCCAGTTGCCCTTCGTTTTATAGCACACGATTCCTTTCCTACACCTGCAGGGGTTGGCGGTGCGGGCAGCACGTCCACAGTCAGGCAGCACTGCCAGACCTGGACAGCTCAGGAAGGGAGAGGCGAAACGGCCTGGCTTTACGCTGCCTGAGCTGGAGCTTTCCAAAAATAACTCTTAATTCACATGTGTCTGTGTTCTTGCACATGCAAGAAGGATATTTATTGTTTTAAGCATCTGATTCTGCGAATGAGCTCTATACGCGAGCGTCCCGGATATCCATCATGGTAAAGAGGTACGGGGTGTAACACCTGTGGCTAAGGTGATGCTGAAGCTCTGAGGTCTGTCTGCTGCCGGTGGGATCGAGGGGCAGAGAAGGAGGATTTGTAGCTGAGCCAGATCAAAGTGCATGACCCAGCTTTAGGAGAAGATTACAAATAACTTTGCAGCTGGAAAACCTACCTTCAGGCTGCACTCCCATGATTTCCCCACTGAATAAGCCATGAGGCAGAGAAGTTTACGTTACATCCACATAGAAAAGCACGACGGCCCTATTCTCATATTAATCTACTCTGTCTTGCATATAAATGCAATTTCCTTTCTTCATCCCCCTGCCTTTCAGTCTTTGGGCTGTCATGGAGGAGGGAGTTCCACGGGCATATTTTGCACAGCATTATGGCTAAACAACTTCATCTAGATACCTTGAGGCTTAATGACTGTGATTAAGAAGCAGTGCCTGGAGGGTCTGGAGAGCTAGAGGTAATTTAGGCTCTGTTTGGAGTGCCGTCTACCCTGCGGTGTAGTGACAGCTAAGCTAGGTTTAACTTTTGGGCACCAGTAGCAAACTCAAAGCTCGGTTGACGCTGAAAGCCCTGAAGGAGGAGAGGGTAAATGAACCCTGTCTGAGCTCTGTGCTGCTGCCACTGCGCTGCTTTTACTCAGCTTGTTCAAAGCTCATTCCTGTGACTCTGTACCAGACTGCAGACAAACCCAGTGGTTGGGGTTAGATTGATTTTCCAGGCTTTTTAACTAACCTCCTCCCCAGTACCTCCCTACAGACCCCCCCTCCACAGGGGTCCAGCCACCCCTGCTCCCGAATTCCCCTCCCAGACAAATGCCTAGGAAGGATCTCAGGCCGGCTGAGTCGGGAGGTGGCATCACATCAAGGGAAAGCATCTTTGCGGGACTCCTGAGTCCTTCCGGGGGGAGGAGAAGCTTTAGAAAGCAAAGGCCAGCGCGTAGCTGGTCATTCAACCTAAGCCCCTGCTCCGGCAGGAAGGTGAGGGAGGAGGGGATGGGAAAGGTGTCGGGGTGAGCAGGAAGGGGAGACGCCGTTCTATACAACCCCTCTTGTGTCCTTCCAGAGAATGTATCCTCCGCACAATAGCTCACCAGGCCGCTGGTGGGGGATAAAGGGCTCATTTTACCACTTGCCAGGCTCCAAATATTTCCAATTTGCCACTTTAATTGATGTCAATAAGGTTATGCTAAATTCGGAGATTTTCAGCCGCTCGGCATCTGAGCGCTGGCCTGGTCCCCCGAGGTGACTGGCTGTGCCCTGTCTACC